GCCGGTGAGTTGGGGGGCGCGGAGCGCGGCGCAGGCCGGCACCGGCTGCAGCGGAGGGCGAGAGCCCGCAGCCCCTCCGTGCCCCGCACCGAGGTCGGGGCCGAGGGCGAGCGCGCACCCCAGCCCCGCAGCGCGAGGGTCTTCATCGCGGCGCCGGGAAGGCGAATCCAGGGCAAACCTGGGGAGACGCGTTCTTCTCCTTTGGGCACGCGCCCTTTGCTGCCTGGCAGCAGGAGCTCTGGAGGTGCCAAACGTTGTAGCTGAAAGCTCTTTACCCCCACGCTGGGAACTGGAGCCGTGCTGCGCTGCACGGGGCGAGGAGGGCCCCGGTCCGCAGCTCCCCGGCAGTCGTGCGCCAGGGCGCTGCCCAGAAACAAGCACACCGAAGAATCCAAGGGAAAAAAGCACTGGAAACTCTTTCAGCGGTGGAGAGTATTCCCGTTGGAGACCAAGGCAAGCGTTCTCCCTCGGCCAGGCGCTCCTGCTGTAACGCAGGCCAGCGCGCTCTCGCTTGGGAGCGACTCCGCTGCCTAAAACAAGACCTAAACTGGGAGAAGTTTAGCAAAGATTTGCTTCTGCGCCTTTCAAGATTACCTGCAGCAGCACCCTGGCAGACGTGCAATTCCCCGCCACAGCGTGTTAACGATCCCTTTGCTACCGAAAGCAAATGCTCGGAGAGAGCCGATGCTGCGAAGCAGCCGAAGCCGCGAGGCCCCGGCGCCGCAGGGTGCACCGCGGGCTCGGGAATGACTTTTTTAGGAGCTGACTCTTCTTGCGCCAGGGCTTTGGGTCCGAGCCGGGTTGCGGCCGCAGCCAGGCGTGTTGAACACCGGGCCCAGCTGCTGGGGATGGCTGGTGGCAGCATCTGGGGCTCGGGGGGGCTCGGGAAGGACAGCCACCAACATCTGGATGCTCGGTTACCCTCTGTCCACAGCAAGGGAAGACACCTGGGTCTGACATTACTTGCTTAAGCCCGTTCTTAGGAATACGTTATTTAACATGTTTTCTGAAAGCATCCAACTCCCCTGCCAGGTTTCAGCTCCTGGGGCAGGGGGGGTGGTGGTGGTTTTGATTCTATTGTCCCTAAAAATGCTGTTTCTAGAACAGAAATGCCCCAGGGAAGCTTGTACCCCCGCACCACGGGGATACATCCAGGGAATGGCACCCATCATCAGCGCTACGTTTATGGTAATACATTTAAATAAATCCAACTGCTAGGATTTGCCTGGAGAGCGTTAGCTCCTGCCCTGCCGAGCCGCGGGCGCGTGGCCTCCCTGCCGCACGGCCCGTCCCCTCCTTCAGCACAAACCCTCCGGCCCTTCCAGCTTCCACGACTACTCACGGCCGGCAGCCGGCACACAGGATACACACGCTAAAATAGGCCGTGAAGGAGTTAACTCCCCGTGAAACGAAGCCTTAGCGGAATACTTGATCTTCCTATCGCCCTGGTTCAACCCCCCCACACCCATTTCTACTTCCTTGATGTCACTAAGCCACCTCTGATCTTTCCGAGTCGAACGAGCGTGTTTTTGCTGACGTACTGACCAACAACTAAATATAAAATGCGGGAACGAAGCCAAACGCCCTGGAAGAATTGCTCGGGTTTGTTTTCTCCTAGAACCAACAGCAGCGTAACGTCACAGTCAACATCTAGAAGGTTGTGCAATTGTAACCGGTGCTTTTAAACTCTCCAGGCCCCGTGCTTTAGCGCTCATTACAAGAGACCGTTCATTTCTGGCGTTGAAGTCTTCCCAGCCAGCGCTTCCCCCTTTGCTCCCCGCCTACGAGTCCCACGGATTGAGCAGAGTATTCTCTGTCCGCACGGGCGTGCGACACGCGGTGGCCCAGCTTTCGTTTGGCCATAGGTTTCCACCTGAACCTTTACACTTCTTCACAGGCAGCTTCAAAAGAAACCCCCTCCCTTACCCACAGCGTCAGAAACTTGTGTATTCACAGCCTTCCCCACAATCCTGCCGGAACACACACACACACACACACACACACACACGAGGTTTTTCCACCGAAGGGGGCTTTACGTGTTAAAAAACCAAACAGAAAACCCACAAAACCCCCACCAACCCCTCCCAAAACAAAGATCCGAGTCTGCTGAGCTGTCAGACTTTAGGCGACGCCAGCATTCCTCTCTACTTCGCTCTGACCAGCTTTCCCAGGGCTGCCGGAGGGCCTTGCCCAGGTTGTACCACCACGGCGTTTTCACCTCGTGGAAGCGCAGCTTCCCCGCGCTCCCCCCGACCCCGCTGCTGCGTGGGGCAGCTCCGCAGGGAGGAGGGATCGGCTCTCCCCGCGCCCGAGCGACGGCGGACCGGAGCCCGGCGCGTCCAGGCAGGACCGTTCTCACGGTGCCCAGTTCCCCGTGGTGGGAAAGGCAGGGGCAGGAAACAGGAGTTATAAATAGGGCTGAGGAAGAAAAAACAATTCCAGCTCCTGGTAAATTAACATTTTGGAATAGGCTCTTTTCCTACAAAACCAGCACAGTCCGGCAGCTGCACGGGGTGGCGCTGAGTCAGCCAGGGGCTGGTGGGCAGGACTCTCCCCGGGGATGCTCACGGCCAACAGCAATGTGCACGGTCCAGCAAGCGGAGCTTTGGGAAACGTTTGGTGGAATTAGGGTATTTGGCTCCTGCAAGTTCACGCCTCTCTCGCTTAAGTTTCTGTAAGAACGGAAGGACCGATTCATTCAGGACCTCTCTCACGTCCCAGATGCAGAGCTTGGCTTTTCGTCACGGCACATTCTGACTCGGGCGGAGCAGGGGTTACGCCTGCCTGGCGCCCGAAGGCAGGACCAATGCTCACGGCAGCCGCGCTGTACTTCTTGCCATGTTCGGTGACTTTTCTTACAGCCAGGTGGGCAAGAGAAAACTAAGCCATGTGCCGTTCTGTTCCAGTAACAAAGGGCAATGAGTACAAACACGGCAGGAAAATACTGAAGCTTCATTAAAAATACCCAAATCTTATCACTATACTCACACTTCAAGTACCTCTCTTGTACAGCAACGAGCTTCCCGACTCTATTGATTAAAAAAGCTAATATTAGTTTAAAATAACACCTAACTATGAGGTCTGATACAAACAGCACCACGAACCCACGCTGTTCTCACCCCTCCAGACGGCCGTCGGACACCCCGCTCCAGCTTCGTGCTGGGGTGCCAAGTAACGCACGGCTCCGACAGCCTGACCTTGCAAATACTGGGACAGGGGCGAAACCGAAGCACCTGAACCGGACGGGAAGGGCTCCGCCAGTGCCTGCGACGGAGCTCGGACCGCGGCAGCAGGAGGGCACGGCCGGGCACCGAGGCACCACGAACCAGCGCCTGCAGCTCCCACCCCGGCACCTGCTTCAACTGTTCCAGCTTGAAAGGCTTCACGTGGGCTGGAGGCGACGCAGCGTGTTTTGTCCCGAGCTTCGCCCTCTGCGAAAGGGGTGACAGCACTTCCTCACCCGAAGGTCGAAGCTGGTAGAACCAAAGATTCAATCCCTTACTCAGCTACTGCACTACCTGGAATTATGAAATACCGAAAACGGGCCACTAACAATTTCAGATCAATTTTATTTTCTTAAATTGATGCTGTACAATTTAAAGCAAAAAAAAAAAAAAAGTCACACAAAAACACAAATAAAAAATGTTGACAACGTATCAAGCATTACCTTATAAAGAACACCATCATACACTCTCACAAACCTGAAGATACGTGTTCATTAGACTGAGGTTTCTTGAAATCTATTAATGACGCTAGACACCAACGCTGCAACAGTAACAAAGCCATGACGACAGCCGGTGGACTACACTAGCAACTTCAACAATGCTCGGGGGGTTGGTTTTTGGGGCGTTTTCTTTCTTTTTTTTTTTTTGCATACCTTATTGTCTACAAAGCAATAAATATTTTTCACCAAAAAAGTTGGTTTCACGCTACATGCAGTTAGATAAAAAAGAAAATCGCCGAAGTGATGGCAAAATAAATCACCTGTCTGATTTGTTTTTCTTTTTTCTCTTTTTTTTTCCCCCTCCCATTTTTTGGGTGGGCTTTTTTCTGTGTTTTTTTGTGGTTTTTTTTTTTTTTTTTTTAATTCAAGCACAGTGGCTAAGTTTCAAGTATTGAGAGAAAACATATATATACACGTTTGTGTTTGTGTGCGTATCTACACACACACACACAGCCTGGTATGTATATACACAAACACATACATATGCATCGGTTGTAGGCCTTTTTTTTTTTTTTTTTTTTTTTTGCGGGGGCCGGCGTCGCAGTCGCCTGCGTCGCGGTCGGCCCTGGCTCCCCGCTCTGCCGGCGCGCCGCTCCTGCCCGCAGCGCGGCCCTTCGCACAGCTGGTGAAACCCTTTCGGAAGCGGCCTGGGTCTCCTCGGCATTTCTGGCCACAGGCTGGGGGAAGTTGGTTGCTTGGGTTTGTCTTTTTTCTTCTCTTTTTTTCCCAGGCACGAGCACAAACGGCCACAGAAGCAGCAGGCTGTGAACGTACGGCACAACAGCGGCCCAATACTGAAGCATTTGTGAAAGCTACGCTTAAACTTCCCTGGTCGGGCCAATCTGAAATATTTTTACATTTCTTTATTGGCATTTCTGCTCTGTGATCAGAAACACCCATGTTGCCAAAGATGATGCCAGCTCCAAAGTCGATTAAGTTGCTCCTGAAACCCTTGTAAAGTATCCCACTGAACGTGCCAATATTGAGAGAAAAAAAGCAAGGAGGACTTAACCACCACGTGCAAAATATTTTTAGATCCCCAAAAACAAAGCCTGAGGTTTCGAGTTGCTTTCAAAGATACGTTTCTGCCCAGCGCTAACAAAATACTGCCACGACTCTGATAAGTTAAGACACACACGCGCGCACGCAGACGGACGGACAGGCAGCCAGCGATCCTCTCACGCACATGCTCACAGCATCCCAAGCCGCAACCAGAACTCGAGCCACTCGCACCCGCAGTCTCATTTGGCTAGAGTCTCCTTAAAAGAAATGCTGAACATAAAACTGAACACTACACGACTTCTTTATAAAAAAATGAAGCAGCAAATAAAACTTCTTAAAAAATGCATTTCCACTTGTAAGTGTGTAGGATCTTAACGCCTGTTCTTGAGCTCTTAAAAAGCACGGAGCTTTATACTGACTGTCCTTAAAAGAACATTTAAATAAAAAAAAAACCAAAACCCAAAACAAAATAAATCGTGGTACTGCCAAACTGCAAGTCAGCTTCGCCTGGTGTGGAGGAGGAACAGCACGGACTCTGCAGTGCTTTTTGCCTCGCACTCACAAGATACAGTACAGTTAAATACGTACAGTTACACACACACCCTATATATATATCAATATATATTCGCCCTTAGGAATACATATTAATATACGCACACACGTAGTGCAATAAACAACCAGGAAGCAAGGAAAGGAATAAGAGGAACAGCATTCCTAACAGTCGTGATGTTCCTGGGTTGTTGTGTGACGCAAAGTCCACTTCTCCAAGTTCCCATAGTGTGTAAAGTGCTCCTTTGATTCACAAAGCTAGTGTTTTCAGTTTGGGGGTGAGGGCTCCAGGAAAGGGGTGATCGAGCCAACAGCCGAAAGCAGGACGGCGCTAGTGCTTCCTCCTGGCAGATATGCACTGACAAGGCCGAGTGAACAGCCAGGAGTCTGTCACGTTGATCCCGCTGAGCTTGGGGACCAAGGGAGGAACGGATTCCTTTTGGCTTCTTACAAACACAGGAGCGTTACACTTTCTGTCGTCCTCCCATTTCCTGCGCGGTCTCTCCCCGCGTCGCCTGCCCGTCCGGGCAGGGGCCGTCCGCCCGGCAGCCGCGGGAGATGCAAACGTCCCCCGCAGCAGCCCGGTGTGTCTGCGGGAGGTGGGAGCTCCTCCAGCAACACGCGGGCAGGAGGAGCCGACTCCCTCCTCTCTGCCGTTCAGCCAGCACTCCAAGGCATAAACACGTAGGAGAAGGGACGGGGGAGAAAGGAGGGGAGGCTCGGGGTGCCAGGAAGCTTGAAGATGCCTGGCTCTCAGCTGGGTAGGGAAAAGTACACAAACTGGCCGTGATTTCTGAATGACGCCCTCCAACGTGAACTGAAGCCAGCAGTTTCCGCACATCCATTGCCTGCAATGGACACAGCACTGGAATACCCTGTTCTTAAGCAAGAGGGATAGGCAGCAGTCTTATCCTTCAAAGTGCTGGGAAGAAGCAAACTTCTATCCTTCATCCCCTCCGCCAACGAGGGAAACCTTTCCACATCAGCTACGTGCCCAAGCATTTGGGCAGGGAAGTATTTGTGCTTGCTGCAGTCACACATCCCCGCGGAGGAATCCGAGTCTGTGGAACAACTTCCCAAACGGTCAAAATACAAAAAAATCGAGCAGTTCATCCTCCAGGTCTCCTGCCGCCAAAATCGTTTCCCACCACAGCAGCAGGCCGTTGGAAACAAAGTGATCAGCTGGGGCGAGGTGCGCGAAGAACAACACTGAAATCAGGCGCAGAACCCCGACAGCAGAGCTGACAGCCTGCGCTCGATGCACAGTTTACCTGGGAGAGGAAAAAAACAAGAAAAGAAATCAACTTCCCGTTTTCCTGGCAATATAATGGAAGAGGCAGAACCTCAGCAAATCTAAGCAGCCCTTCGAGAATCCTCACCACGTACTGATTTAGACGAGGCGAGGACCTGACCACAAACACCATGCTGGAGAGGGTCAGGTCAAAGGGTTGAATAATTGGAGATCCAACAACAAAAGCCAGGAGGCAGCGGTTCTGACAGAGGTATCAAGGTGTTGTAAAGAACGACCGTCCACCAGGAATAATGTATTTACTTTTAGTTATCGGAGTGGCTTTTGCCAGCAGGCAAGATGACTCGAGGTCTCCAGTGCCATTTGTCACGGCTGACAACTGAGAGACTGAGCCCAGCCCGGCACGGCCAGTGCCAGATTCTCAATGCCTGATCCCAAGACTCTCTCGAGAGCTAAACGTTTGGTGGAATTCATTCCTCTCGCAGGAAGACCTGCGGTATTTCTAGGTTCATCACTTTACTTTTCAGAAATAAGCGATCATATACCTGAGATCTAAAATGAAATGTGTACCCACTGCAGCCTACCACGGAACAGCTCAATCAGGAAGCTGGAACATAGGGTAAAACAGGGAATACCAGGATATCAGCTGGGAAAAGTAATCTATTAGATGCATTAACTGTATCTCTGGACAAAAGATGTGATTTAGGTTTGGTAAGAAATGGTACAATAGAAACTACTGAGTATTCCCTATTCACTTCGCCCTCCAGTACAGCACACCACCTGCCAATCTCCCTTTGCTCTCCTTCAGTGAGCGCATGTCAACTGTGAAAGCTGGTGATAATTAACTGACTGATTGCCTGTGAGCCAGAAACCTCTCCTCTCATTAGCCATCCGAGAGCTCTGCCTACACGGCCGACTAGAGCAGCACTCTGGACGCCAGCCCAAGAAACGCATTCGGTAGCCAGCAGAGAGGAGAGGCCTGGTTTGCCGGCTGTGCCCGTTCCCTTCAGCCGCCGGGGACCGCTGCGGACGGGCTGGCTTAGCTGTGATGGAGCAGAGCCGAGGCCAAGGCAAGCTGCTCTAACAGACAACGGCTATCCCCCATCCCCTGCGCCTGCCTCCCGCAGAGAGAGACGACAGAGGTGATTAAACCGCAGCCGTAAGGGCAGGGAAAGCGTGCTCAGAGCAAGTCAGGTCAGTCCTTTCCACTCCATGTGTGCTAGCTGCGGAGCCTGCAGCAGCGGAGAATAACACCCCTCGGGAGAAAGGGAGAGCGCCCGAGGTGACCGCTCGGAGTGGCAGAGAGGGGACCAGCTGTCCCTGGGAGAGGAAGCCAGCGGACAGCAAGTAGGTAAGAGTCCAGCTTTCGCTGCTACAACCAGCACTTGCTGATGAGAAAAATATTTGTTTGCTGCCTTCTCAGCCAGGCCTGGGGCTGGGGAACCGAGACAGGAGAGCAGTCCTGTTTCAGCCGATGTGTGGGAAGGAGCCCTGGCTGTGCTGATCGGCCATCTCTGCCCGACAGCCGCTGCAGGTTCGCATTCCCGAGTGCTCTGTGCAATCAGAGGGATGGTTCCAGCTGGAAACCCAACCCAGGCCCCTGCTGTTGCCAAACCACTTCCTTCAGCAAGTTCTTTCGCACATCAAAAGCTCCAACAAAGCCCTGGCAATCACTCCGCATGGGAAGCTCTCAAAATACGGCTCAGAACAGGGACCTGCATTTCTAGCAGTTCTGCCGCTGGGAAAGCAGGAGGCCAGGCTGCGAGAAGCTCTAACAAGCCAAGAGATCTCTGCTATGTCCACCAAAATGTAGCCAAAGGAAAAAAGGATGCTGGGTACTGAAATTTCTGATCCATGCAGCTAGAAAACCACATGTTCTAGTGGGAGAAAAAAAAGTCCCTGAACACTCACATTTATTGATGTTTTCTATGTCCCCCTGTTCAGTGATGATGTTCAGGAGCCCCTCCATCAGCAGCAGAGCCTTGTGGTACCTCTGGGCGCAGTCCTCTCTGTGGTGGAACATCTCATCCAGGGCTGCAGACTGCACCTGCAGGCAACAACCCCGTGCCAAGAGGTTACTCCCAGGCCAGACTCAGCTTTCCCAGCATGGCCCCTCAGCTGCATCAACACCTCCCGTGCCCAGCCTCCAGAGGCTGCACAGAGTCAAACCACCCGCTAAGGCCCCTGGCAGGGACCGCCAATGCCCGACCCCGGCTCTGTGCTAACCCTGCTCCCAGGCACTGCATGGTTATTACCATTTGCACAGCATAGCTGAAGATGAGCTTCTCTGCGGTGATGCTGTTGATCCGATCCATGAGTTTCTGTTTGTCCAAGAAGAACCTCTGGAGTCTCATGTTGAGGCAGTGGCAGGATGATACACTGGATTTATAAAGTTCATTCAGCTTCTTCACAACTAGAGTAAAGGAAAGAAATGCTTTAGGCGCTACTTCCAGTTCTCCCTGTGCCTCCCAATCTCCACGCACAGGACCCCAAATGAGTAACTTCAAGACAACAGGGTTATCTTAAAGCCAAAAGACTGGCAGGAAAAGTAGTTGCTGCACCAACAGGGTCTTTTTCTTCTCCTCTGTCACCTTCACCAGTTATAAGCCTGCACGTGGCAGCACCTACACATATGCCTAGTTCACCTGAGGCCAGGTCTATTTTGGTTTCCTTCAGCTGCCACGAGGCAGAGAGCAGTTTGCACCGTGCAAGGTGTCTCATGCACCCCCAGAAGCAGCAGACGTGCCAGATACAAAGCTTCTGCTACTTGCTGGGTGATGACGTGCCGTGAAGAAGTACGTGACTTGTATGTGGAAGCCGTTGGAGCGGAGTGTGGATGAGCAGCACTGACTAAGCAAGGGAATCTCTCTCAGGACTCTGCTGTTCCAGAAAGAAAAGACACTGATGCCTGTGAAAGGCCACCTCCTTTCCTGAACCACAGCAGCTCGTACGGGAAGGTTACGGGGACAGAGAATCGGGAATCAAATATGATTCTGAGGAATTAAATAACAATCCAAAACAGCAAGCAATGCCACAGGCTTGAGGCTCCCTAGCTGCGTGGCATGATCTACACAAAGTACCGAATACAAACTCCCACCAACATCTGATGAGTATTAACTGCTATGTGCACATTTGAAAATCCCCACGCTGCACGATTTGCTCCTGGGGGAGGCAAATTAACCCACGCCATGAACCAGCCTCTCCCAGCTACGATGCAGAGGGGCAACCTCACATGACAGCCAGGCCTCGCGACTAAATCTAGCCTTACCGGGCAGAGATAAGAGAGCAGAGAGCCAGAGAAGAGACGGCCTCCAGGAAGAAAGGCTGCTGTAACTCTTCATCAGAGGCACAAAAACACAACCCTGTCAGGGCCAGGCTGTCAGAGCACCCTTGCTCAGAAGGAATTTGAGAGGGAGTGAGAACCCCAAAGTTCGTGGGTGACATCAGGAGGGCGAAATGAAAGACTCCATGAGAAGAGAGTCAAGAGAGACTATTTAAAACCAAAGCAAGACACAAATACAGCAATATCCTCCTCCACGGAATTCAGTCAGAGCTCTGAGCTGTGCCCAAATTATCAGGAAAAAGAGGATGTCTGTGGGTAGGGACCCTGCCTGGCACACACTGCCCAAGGACACTCCAGGGCAGTGTCTTGTCATACTTCCCTGCTTTTTCCATATACATGGGACACAAGTACCTTGAAAACTCTCTTGTCCTCGCTGTGCCCTGAAAAACCTCGAGGGAGCAGCCTTTTGTGGTGAGAGAAACAAGAAAAGACAGCCTTGCCCAGTTCCCACATGCTGAAGGACAAATTACACTACGAATCTAGAAGGCGCAATCTGCCCTGAAAAGGGATAATTTATTTGGGTTATGACAACCTTCCTGCTAGCCTGAACTTGTGGAAGATGCGTAGCTAAACCTGTGTATCTTGCTCCATACTGCCTGCTACAACGTATGTGTGCTCATCGTATTTAACTTTTTTTTTTTTTATACCCCATCCCAAGGCAGCATGAGTACTTTCAAAGACTAAGCTCTTGGGGAAGGTGGCTGATGGGTCAAGTGCTTCAAAAAGCTCCCTCAGTACAATGGTAGTTTCAAAATTATTTTTTCTAATCACTGAATCACAGCCAGCTCACATCACAAGCCAGCCAGTCAGATGCAAATGCACGGCTGTAACACTAGCAAAGCAGTGACTCTGGCATTACCAGTATTTTACTTCCTGTGTTTTTGTTTCACTTGAAAAATCATCACTGCCACAACAGGTCTCCATTTGCCAAGTAAGCACCTCCTAGGACAGGCACTGTGTAATTAAATTGGACTTACGTCAAGTACAAATAAGCACCTGAGACAGCGATGTACAAGGAATCAGATAAGATACATTCCCCTCTCGCTAATTAGTGCTGAAGGTTCTCACAGGGGCATGAGCAGGAGTTTTGAGACCTAAAGTCAATGTGAAGAGAGGAACATTCCCCTCAGTGCGAATAAACAAAAACAAAAACAAAAAAAAAACCCCAAAAACCTGGCTGTGCAAGGGGACAATAAGAAATAAGCCCCTGGGCATACTGGTGGGGGTTCACACCCTCTCAATCCCCTCCACACCCTTTGCGACACTTTTAATACTTTCATTCCAGGCGAGTCCTTTGTGCCACGTGCCCAGCGGCCCCGTACCTTGCTTGACGGTGGAGGAGAGGCACAGCTTGCCAGCTTTGATCTGCTCTATGGCCATCTGCAGCCCCGAGGACAGAAGCTCCGCTACTTTCAGATACAGCACGAGCTGCTCTGCATAGCTGCAAAGAAAGCACATTGCGATGCAAACAGATTGATGGGACAGCGGTAAGTGTCCCGAAGGTAAGGATATGTGGGGTGGGAGGAGTGACAGAAGACCTGGGAGCTGGGCGGCTCTCTCCTCGGTCCTTACCTCCACTCCCGGCTGAGGAGGCTGATCTGGTCGGCCACCACGCTCTCCTGGAGCTGGTACTCCGATGTCACTGAACTGCTCATCTCGCCGGAGCTGCCCTTCAGGGCGGCAATTTCCATCACGTAGTGGACAAAGGCCAGTGTGAAGCGGAGGCTGCGCAGGATGTCGGTGTGCTCTTGCTGTTGAAGGGACGCCAAGGTGGGAATTACAGAGGGAAAGCTGGCATGCCAGGGAGGGCTGCTCACCTAGAGCTGGGTCCACAACTCATCCCAGCCTACAGAAATAACACCTGAGCCCCAAACCCCCCTACACCTCTGCTTTGGGCAGGGACAGCCAAACTCGGCCTCGAGCCCAGCTCCTCCTCCACAGTAACAGCAGCAAGAGACAGCTGCAGGCCAGAAATTTCCAGGCAGCTCCCTGGAGAAGCTGGTGAGACTTGCTCCAAAATTACATGCCCCCTTCCCAAGGAGGATCCCAGCTCTGTGGGACTCTTCCAGAAGCCAGCCAGGAAGGGGGAGAGACCATCTGCACCACAGGCCCAGCTCTGGCTCCCACCACAGCAATGCTGGTACAAAACTGAAAGCAGGTGTGGATTTCATGAGAGTGACAACCTCCTATGCCACAGAAAACCGCAAAGTCTGTCCCACCCTACAGCCCGGCCGTCACTTAGCCCTCGGCCTTCATATCCTCCCAGGTCAGTGCAGTGAGCCCTGGGTGAGGTCCTCTGAAGGGACAGCAAGGACAACCTTTTATCTGCAACTCCTGCCCAGCTAGCGAGGGAAGAGAGCCTCTCCACTAAGTGCCACGTTCATTTCAAAGCAGTTTTGCCTCTGCTATTACAGATCCAAGGGGATTATCCCATTTATGGGAAGCTGCGTTGCTTAAGTCACTGCAAGCATTTGTGGGAAGTTAGCATTTGCGGAAAAACTGAATGCTTGTGGGTCTGCAAAAGGAATTGCTGCCTGGATCAGACGCAACTCCATTGTTCATACTCTCTCTGTAGAGAAGTGGCTAACCTGCTTGATCTTCAAATACTCAGTGGCTCAGTTCATTCAAAGGGGGCCGGTAAGGATGTTTCCTACATGAATTTATCAAAAAAACCCCATACTCAAGTTGTGCAAGCTTTTGTTTGCTAAGGCAGCGTTGACTATCTGAAATATGAATCTCTGCTCCCGCGACCTTGCCACCTGGACAGTCCAGTATGGGTAGGAAGTGTTATCTCCATCTTCCTCTATTTTCTTTAAAAGCAGAGGAGGAACTTGGAGATTAAGTAATTGCCAAGTCATACAAGAAGTTTGTGGCAGAGCAGGAAACTGCTGAGATCTCGCAGCCTGGTATCTCTAACCAATGCCCAGTCCTTCCTCTCTGCTTACACAGTCAGCTTCTAGTAATTACGCTGGCATTTGTGGCCTCATTTGGCATCGCAAGAGTCTTTCCTTCCGTAGCCATCTCTGTATTGTGCTTTTAAAGCACTGCAAAGAAACTAAAACCTAGCCTTCAACAGAAGCTGAGCCGAGTGCTATTAACAAGATCAAGCTGATACTTCCTTAGGACACTTCTCTTCAGACCAGTATGTGAAGTGGTGGCAGCTGGGACCTCACCAGGTAGGATGCTCAGTTAAACTCACTACTACCGCCATCACATCAATGCTGAAAGCCCTAACCCCGTGGCTCTGCAGGTAATTAAGCAAATGAATGCAAGTCAATGCATAACTGACCAAAAAAAAAAAAAAAAAAAAAAGAGCTAAATAAAATCTGAAGTAGAAGAGCAAACCCACATCCTTAAAACAATGTATGCATATCTCTGCGGGTATCTAGGGGTTTTTAGCAACAACAGCAAAATTCAGATACCAAGAGCCTTCCCCAGTCCCAGATGGCCCAAGGAGGCACCACGAGCAGAGCTGAAACCGTGACTGAATCTGCTTCCCACCTCTACTGCAAGTGGGCAGCCTGACCTACATTTCAAATGCATCTCAGTTACAAAAGCATTTGCTCTGCTTCAGCCTGCAGCGAAGGGGAGCCTGGCAGCCTTTCAGCTCGACAGCCTGGTTCAGCAGTTTTGGTGCAGAACGTGGTGTCCCCCCACCCCTGTTAGTAACAGAAGTGTCAGGTTTACTTTTTTCAGCTCCTTTCAGCAGAGGCTGTATCACTGCCTGACTCCCCAGCTGCATGCAGCAGGCAGTCCTTTGACACACTAAGCTACTCACGCTCTCAAGTCAGCTATTATTGGTGTTGAGCCTTTTAAAAGGGAAAAGGCACAGTTTCTTCAGAAACTGTTAATATAGAATGCATCAGATAACTTATGTTTCCAACCTGCAATTTCAGCTTTGGAAATGGTGAATTTTAACCTCGGTCATGCGCTGTTTCATGGGCTAAACAGCTTGGTAGCAGGCTCAAAAGTCACTGCTAAATATGCCCTGGGCTTTCTAAGCATGGCACTGGCCTAGCTTTTTTGAAGCCAGTCTGCTCCATCTTTGGAAGCAATTCCCTTGGCTGGAGTCATCTGACCTCTGGATTGGCTTTACTTTTCTTCCCCGTTGTCCTTTGCCCCTAACATTGTCCCTGGGATATACCCACCTCCATGAGCGTCTCTTCGGGCAACTCTGGTGCCTCAAACGTAACAGCACCTTCCAGGTTGGCTGTGATGGGATCAGCAAAAGCGTACCGGAGATTTGAGGGGCCTTCCACAGCATCCCCGCCAGTTCCCACTGCCAAGTGCCTGCCGGTGAATGAGCCTCCAGAACTGAGAGAGCTGGAAGACCCCACTGAGAAGAAAAATAGGCAAAGGAATTAGTGAAGATATTAATAGTAGGTCAGGTACTGTTTATCCAGCAGAGGGGACAAGCCTGTAGGATCCGGGATCCTGGCTCCGATAGGAGCCAGCAACAGGTACTTTGGAGGAAGCTACAAGGACTCTTGATGCGGAACAACCACTCCCCAACACAAGCTCCTTAGCGACTCAGGTAGACCAGCTAACAAGCTCAAGCAGATTTAACGCACCTTCCAGAATGTCTGTCATTTATGGAGACTATTCAGAAGCACTCTTTTTTTTCTTTTTTGTCCAAACACTTTCTGAATCCTGCCATGATATCTTGGGCTGATTTTTATCATACACCAGCACAGCCAGCTTCCCAATCATGAATCAGTGTGGTTTGAGCCCTGGTTCCCTACCTTTTACACCACCACTGAAGGAGCACCTCTGATAAGCGAGGTTTTTATCATGGTTTTAAAACAACGACCATTTACATGCAAACCAGGAGAGCTTTCCATTACATGCCCTGCACTTCTGCTTCCCCCTCTTTACAAACAGGAGGCTGGGCAGAGAATAAGTGACTTCAGTTGAGTCAAGACCCTAACCTCAGGATTCAGGAGACCATGTAAGTACGGTGTCCATCAGACAATTCCCTCACCATCATCTTTTCCCTAAATCCACCCTGAGAGCGCATTGCATATAAGTGACGGACGCTTCAAAAGGAATTTGTGTCTCAGACTATTCATAATACATTCACCACTTGCAGAGGGCTTCATATCCCACTGACACAGGAGGATATATTCTGTCTGACAGGGGGATGCCAATACCAGCTACAATACTCTGCTAATTCTACCAACGCGATATTCTCCACTGTCACTGATCCTTTGGAGGGAGATGTTTCTCTTCTACCCATGAATTTAATTTGCTGCCCTACCCTGCCTTCAAAAGGTTCAGCAATACAATGCACAACTGATCCACAGAGAGGCACAGTCTCCTCTCCTCCCAGAGCTCTCTCCCTGTTGGCAGCTATGCTTCAAAGCTAAGTGGATCATCAAAGACTGGCAGAGTATTTCCAGATCTTTCAGAGAGAGGAAAGGACCAACAACATCACCTTCTGGATAGCTTGTAATTCCAAGAGGCTGTTTGCAGAAATTGTTATGATGACTGATGAGAAGGCTCTGCCTTTATATCTGTCAAGTGATCTTACTTACGGCTTGTCCAAGCACTTGGGGTGCAGAGTTTCAGCTGGCAAAGCACCCCTTTTCACCACTCACTTTGTGCGTTAACTATAACATAAGGAGTTACTGCACAGACCTAACAAACAAAGCTTGTCAAGCAGCATTGCTTTGACCACCTTGACCCAACGCTGCGTACGTGTTGTAGGTTCACTATTCAACAGCCTTCTCTTCCAGGGATTCCATCTGAGATCTTGACTATTTGGCAGACCCTTAAGCATCCCAATATCAACCTGCTAAAAAGTGGTGCTTGGATCTGCTTCCAAATTGCTATTATCCCCGCAAAAGCAATACAGCAAGTCTGAATTCTCTATTCATAACATTGCAGTAGTAGGCTGTAGCCAGTATAGTAACCCCATTCTGCCACAGGCCTGTCAGACACTTTGTAAGAGTCTCTGCCCTACAGAGCTTACCCTCTAAACAGACAAGACAAAGAAAGGATTATGGTCCCAACTTTCCAGACTATCAAGGATGTGAGTGGTTTTAGTTATGATGGAAATCCAAGCCATACCCAGGAACTGAGCCCATGTGTCCCCCCATCCCAGTCAAGCAGCTTATTCGTGGCTACATCCAAACCTTCCCTGCAGTAATTAAGAACAACAGTCGACTACATTCAGATGAGGAACAGCCAAGATGAGAAACCAAACAAGCCAAAAATGCAAATAAATGTGTCCAAGTATTTTCTTAAACTGAACAGAGACTCCAACTTCCAGACACACTGTCCCAAAAGGGCCAATTACCACAGCCTCAACCGTTGGCTGATGAGGCCAGAGCACTGGTGTCTTAAAAGAAGTATCTGTCAAGCAGGAGTGCATTTCCCCATTTCCTACTTAGGCAGCTCAAAGCGTAACACCACTAATAATTTTGCATACAGAGCCATCCTGGCCCTTTCCTAACGGTACTCGTACACTGAAATTGTTGGGCACGGATGGTCACACTTGTCTTTTATAGCTCATCCAAAACCCACAGGGAAAACGATCAGAACACAAGACAATCTTTACGTTTGTTGACCTGTCAGCAACAGTGGGTCTATGAACAGCTGCAGCGTAATTCCTGAGCAGAGAGAAATGAAGTAAAAGAATAGTTTGCCTCTCTCTTCCAGTACTGGAAAACCACTATATGGCATTAGCCCTTGTGCCAGTGCCAACAGTTATCAGCAATAACCGGGGTTGGCAGGAGCCAGCATGAGAACCTCAAAGGCATTTAGACCAGCTGAGCTCTACGGACTGTGCTCTGAGCAGCCCTCTGCCACCACCAGTGTTCAGCAGCAAGGAATTCAACACATCGCTCTGCCCCCAGGCATTCCCACTGGAACAGGCAGGTAGGTATCAGCCCTTTACCTGAAAACATCCTGGTCCTCGTGGTCTGTGGGGGGGTTGTTCCACTGGGAGGGGATCCGACAGTAAAAATCACTGGGGATGGGCTGGCAGAGCCCCCAGCCCGGGCACCAGAGTGCAGGGTCCCTCCGTAAGCACCTGAGGGAGCTGGGGAGACAGTTGAAAGGTGCAGACTGGCATCACAGGAAAGTTACTCAGAGCATGGTGTGCCTCACCCAGCAGTTTTACGTTCCTGCAGACTCTCTTGGGAGACAGTGGTTACCAGCACAGGCCAGCGCTCCCTTTGGAGGCATCCCCCGAGAACACGACCGGGCCAGGCTGGCGTGGACTACAGGACACGAGCCTGGACAGCATCACACATTGCTGCAGCTGTTCTCCCCTCCTCGCTTCCCGACCTGCAAGCCCAGGAAGACCCACCCTTGCAGAGCCATTCATATTTGAACCGCCTGGCAGAAAGTCTCCACTTTCACATGTTATCACACTCAGAAGGGGCCAGAAGAGGAAGCCCTGCCTACAAAAATCACACCACTAGCCAGCAGTTACACAGCACGCGTGGCCCACAGACCTTTGAGCGCTCCGCAAAAGAAAGCAAACATCATTACACTCCTCACACACGGCAGTCACTTCCTTTGCCAAAAGCCATCAGAAAAGCAGCCTCCCATTTGTAGGAGGCATGCAGGCAAACTGTTCGCCCCAACCAAGGACATCCTGCCAGATCTGCCTGGCCTCCCCACCTACCTGCAATTTCCATTGGCTTCTCGTTGTTCAGGCTGTCATTGCTGCCAGCTTCTGAGATCTGTGCCCCAAAGGCTGCCTTCAGAAGCAGGTCAGTGAGCCTGCCTGTGCTCAGAGATCTAAAAAGAGGACATACAACATGATGCAGAAAGTCAACAGGTGCAAGGTTTCGGCTAACTTCCACTCCAGTTTGTGCCATTCCTGGTCCACAGCCACTTCACGCTACACAGCAAACAGCCCGGAGCTGAAATAACCACTCTTCCTCTTTCAACAGAGCATCTGAAGCACCTCCTGCTACTTGCAGAAAGCATACAACTACCGTGACTGCCTGCAGTAATGCAAGTACTGACTACAGCATTATTACAACACAATTTTTCTTTGATGGAAGATACAGAAATTCATCTCAGAGGACTCCTCCAGATCACTGGAGAAAGCTGCAGACTGCAGCGGCATGTAAGAAAAACTTAAGACTAACACCTGCGTGACTTTGTATCCTGCAATGCTCATGACAGTCAGCATATGGCTTTCAAACAGACCTCTGATCTGAAGACCCGTGCCCACTGGTCGATGGCCAAGAAACACCCGTTAACACCCTCTCATCCATGACAGGCACAGGCTCCTCAAAGAGCAAGGCATGCATCTGCATAATTGTGGGGAGTCTGGTCTAATAACAAAATCCTGCCTCCCCACTTGATGAAACCTTGGACGCTAAACACAGTGTGAAGCTGCAGACAATCTTTCATTTTATAAAATCTAGGCCACGGCCTGCCCCTGTAGAGGAAGACTTTAAAAATCCGCATCGTATCTGCTTGCAACCCAAGACTGCTAGCAGATAACTACAGAATGTGTACAGATGCTACGTTACAACTTCAGTGTTAGCTGGGGTTTGAAATTTGCCCCATCCGTCCTGTATTAGGGAACGAAGCATCACTGTATAAAGCAGACTACAGCTCACCTGCCCTTCATCTCTTCCACAGGCCTCAATCCCAAGCCAGTTTGCTGGCAGTGGAAATGACCCATCTCCTTCAGATCTGGCAAGGTCTTGTTCCGTGTTGGAGCCATCATGACCCCCTGATGGGCCAAGAGGGTGAGGAGATTCTGGGAACTTGGGGTTTTGGGAAACTCAAACGGGGACACAGCCTAAGAACAGAAAAAACAGAGATCTGCCTTTAAAACAAAGAAGGAAGGTTCCCCTTGCCCCCTCGTTTATCAAAATTAAATTGTATGCTTAACAGCCTGCCTGAAATAAAGAGGTAGAAATCCCACCCACGCAGTTACTTGTCCTCAATCCCAGAAAGACTAAAATGAAAGGACAACAAACTGCTGAAAATGTGTAGCAGCCTAACACAAGCACAGAGAAAATGCTGTCATAGTGCCAGCTTCGCGTGAGACACCAGGGCTGTCACCTCCTTAACCGTCTGCTGTCTCTGCTGGGGATTCCTACCGGACACACGCTTGTGTTGCAAGCCGAGTCGCTGTCTGCAAACCAGCCCAGGCACCGCGGTTCACTAATGTGCTTCTGCCTAATCCAGGCAGCTCCTTTTCATTGCTCGTTTCAAACCCTGGACTCTGCTCAGATGGTTAGCACTGCTGCCAAGTGAGACCCGTCCACTAAGAACTAGGACACTGCCCCATTTCACACAGATCACTAAACAGCCCTTGAAGAAAAGCTAACGAGTGGTGATAAAGCCAGGTCAAAGTTATCTGATCATGCAGTGGTTCACCCTCAAATAACCTAACAGATCAAGCTGTGAGAAACCCAAAAGCAGACTCCTTGACATACCTTTGTGGGGGAGCCCATTATAGTTGGCAAAGGGCTTCTCTGCATGAATTCAGACAGCTTTGGTGAGGATCTGAGCTGCCGGCAGTGCTGCAAGCCATGAATCTGCAGAGGCTGGCTGACTGGGCTATGACCGAAGTGAGCAACGAGAGGATCAGAGTGCTGCTTGGTTATTGAATGCAAATCCGACAGGTTGGGAGCGCTGTGGAGCCGGGAGCCCATCCCTCGAGGAGAGTGTTCGGCCGAGGAACCTGGAGGGCCCAAACACAGCGACAAACCACATCATCTTCTGGTTCTAACATGAAAAGCCAGCCTGATCCCAGGATCCACTGCGAAAACATCTACAGATCAAAACCTTCAGTGGATGGCTAAGGATGGCACTCTGATCAGTGCCACAATGTGCTAGGCCTGATCAGGGTTTGACTCTCCAGGAGGAAGAGACAACAGGGACACAGAAGCGTAGCTTCTTTCCTTTGCTGCAGCCCTTACAGAGAAACAGACCCTGACTGTCAGAGCTCAGCAGCAAGGCAATTACACATCAAGCGGGCCACTTGGCAGAGGGGGAGTTGGGGGGTTTGAGATGTGTTTCCTTCACTCAATCCGTTGACTTCAAAATCACAAATTTGAATTTCTGTGACACAGGGTCTGTCAGCACTGGAAGAGGCTGGCTGATGGGACGTGAATGGATCAACTCCTACCAGCACACAGAAATCCTGGCTGGCCAAGCATCCAGAGAAGCTGCTGAAGGACCATACCTGACCTTGAACGCCCTGAGACTACAGTTCTGGCCTTATCCATAGGAATAATGAAGGAAGGCAAGGACCAACGCACCGGCAACAGGGACCCGGCTTCTCACTTCTGCTCCAAGAGAAGAGGGGATAACAGTCTGGCTGGGCTGCTCTGGGATTGTTCCGACTTTGAGGGAACACAATAAAAAAAAGTTTATTCAGTATTAAGTTTCCATAGGCAATAACAACACTATGCATCATCTATTTTATAGAAAGATACTAGTTATCTCTCCCACCTTCTCAGCCCTAGCTGTGTAGTGAAAAGATCAACAACTCCTGTAAAAGGATGAAAAACAGCTCTGTCTGGTATTAGTTTAGCCAGTTTTAGTCTGACTTTGTAGTGATATTAATTCAGAGGAATAGAATATGAATATTTAGCATTTCCCCGCCAGCAGAGACTACTAAATACAGGATCGGAGACACTAGGGATATAGAATAGCTAGTTACATCAGTCTGTTCTTTTACAGAAAATAGCAAATTGCATCAGTTGTACACCGGGGTTTTTCTTATCCCTTCTCCACGTGAATTGCTTGTTAGCATCTGTGTCAGGCTACCAGATATTCAGACAGCTACTTTTCAGTCTGAACAGTGAAGTTCAAGCCCCCCCAAAGCTGGTCAGAATTCTGCTCTGACAACAATTGGCTTACATTTTTTCTCACCCCAGCCTGAGCCAGTAAACAGATACTTTGCACTTACAGAAGTCCTCTTCAGAGGGCAGCAAAACGTTTGATGCAGACACCAAAACAAAGCTTGCCTCTCCTGAGGCTAACAGGAATTTTCCTCTCCATTCTACTGAGGCCAAACCACTTGTCAAATAATCTATTGAGAAGAGCCATGGGAGAACACAACAATCTGAATTCCCTATTACCTGGCAGCTACAGCTGGTCATAACCTCCCTCTTTACAGGAAAGAGGCACGTGTTTTACTAAGGCAGCAAAATGCCAGCTGACATCTTACCTTGCGGTGATGGCATAAACGGCTTGGCACCACCAAAGGAGAGCTTTCTAGAGCTGGGCACAGGTCCATGCTCTCCAGGATAAGGAGGGGAAGCACCAGTTTTCGGAAAACCAAGAGGACTTGTACTGCTAGACCTCCGGACCGTACCAGACCTTACAGGAAACAACAGCAGCACAGACGTTACTCCAGATGCCAGTATAGAAGAGTAAGGAGAACAGTATCACCAGACACACACACACACACAGAGCTACTTCCACAGAAGCTGAGCTTCATGACTGTTTATCCTGGCTCAAAATCCTACTGTTCTAGGACTACACCAATACAGATTACGACGATAATCCTTGTTCCCAAGAGTTTCAATCCAAACAAAATTTTGCAAAACAAATGAAAAGAAAGAATGAGATTAGCTTAGCTGTAAGCAAGAAAGCCTGTCATTTTTCAATAAGTCACTTTTAGATGCTTTCAGGGATCTACACCAATCCTGAACAAGACAAGAGTTTCATATCTTGCCATGTCTTGTTTATTTTAAGGGCTTATTCAAGTGTCCCTCTTGTGCTGAGCCACTTGCTCTTTTGTCAGAGCAGCCGTTTAGGTGGAAAGCTCTGCGAGTGCAGGTCGTACGATGTGGAGGTAAGCTGTGCCAAAGGCACTCCTCCGCAACAGAGCTTTGACTCGAATCAGAAGCTACAGAGCAAAACAGAGCAGTGTGTGGCTGTCACATCTGAAACAGTTCAGTACTACCCAGAGGAATTTCTTTTTGGGCTGGACAGTCAGAATTGCCTGGTCTCCAAACTCCTTTATCTTCTTGTGAAGCCTCACCTTAGGGAGTTAAAATTAATTTGTACAGCCCACACACGCAGGAACCTCAAGCGTTACCCAGCTGCTGAAATGAAACAAAAGAGGAAACGAGACTAGTGGGAAAGTGAGTACAGCCACACCATCACTCTGGAGAGAGATGGGATTATTGTACATTAATTATTTCTTAATATTTTAATGTTTTCACCCCTCGTTAAGAACACACAACCTAAACTCTATTTACTGAAATGCCATTTATCCTCTGCAGGCTCCTTCACCAAGATTCCCATTACACTCCTCTATATGAGAAAACAGTTTTTTCATCCAATCCTTCATTCTACTCTCAATTTGTAAACATTTTTTCCCTCGTTAAAAGAACACCAGTCTCAGCCAGTAGGTGGTTTTATGGACAGGAATCAGTGAATATGCTGAAAAAACCCCTCTGTGCTCAAGTCACTGAAAGATGCTATCACCAAGATATGCTGCCTCCTCTCCCAGTGACGCTGCATTAAGCGGTATCTGCATTAATAGGATCTGCATTAATAGGTATCTGAACAGAAGGTACAAAGGCACAGGGCTTTCAGCAGCGCAAGCAGGGCTAGCTACATTACCCACGAATGGCAAAGTCATCCTGATGAAGTGTCAGGACATCTACTCAACAACACTACTAGGTATATGCTTTACTTTATGCCACATTTCAGAAAAGAAAATACATTAAATAAAAAAATTTCTCTATTTCAGTCGTTGAGATACAAGAGTTTGATCCACCACCACACCCATTTTCAATGCGTAACTACGTTTCTCAGCCAAATGAATCCACACTATATTTACACGCTTGGAAAAAAAGGAAATCCTTTGACATTTTAACCTAAAAATCACTTCTGTTCAGGTTGCTCCAGATTCAGAGGCCTAACGCTCATCAAGTGCCTGGCCCTGAAGCTAAATGAATACACAAGAAGGAAATGGACACCTGGCAAGGTGAAAAGATACCTAGATGTTCAGTGGCAGAAAGCATTGCTCCCCCATGTTTTTAACTCTCCAGAACAGGAGTCATCCAGAAGGCTGAATATTATCTATCGGGAACTTGCAGAAAAAAACACCAGCTGACTGCCACTGCTGAAAGATGTGGAACGTCAAATGCCACCCTACAAGACATGGGATAAGCAAGCAAGCAGATGAGCAGGACAGGTGATGCGGCCAAAAGTATGCACACATAATTACCACCTCGACAAGCAACATATCCATCCACAGACAAGCTACATTACACAGGCATACACCAGCCAGTCAGATGACAGTGGTCGATTTTTCAGAAACAAGAGTGTACGTCAAGGTTTGCCAAGTCATTTGACTACAAACATGACGAGGCACTTGGCTGTAATGGCTTATTCGATACACCTGATGGAAAAGTGGAACCAAATTCTAAATGCTTGATGAAGATCTCTCCTTCCATTCCTGAAGGGCGTCTACTGAATTTGCTGATTAGAGGAAGTGATGGTGAGAGATAAATATGGCTTCCTGGGGCAGGAAAAAAACATGACGCCAGAGATTTTGAGAAGATGCTAAAAGCAGAGCGTGAATCATCTGATTGCGTCCATTCCTCGAGTTCCTCTGCAGGGACAATGCTAATCTCATCATTACACAGTGCTGACTAAAAGGAGCAAAACATGACAATTTGATCCCCGACCGGTAGCTGCAGGCCGTGAACCTGAACTCAGCAGCCCGTCACCAGGCCTGGGGTAGGCACGGTGTGCCCGGGTGCACCTTCTCCAGAGCTCTCGCTTTATACGCCACATGGATAACCAGGACTCTTCTGTGAGTTCCAGCACTAACAGGGTCCACGAGTTTTGCTGTAAAAAATACACGGCACATAGGAAACAGGAAGGAGCTTATCACAAAACTTGCCACGCACTCAAAGAAGTGAACATGAAATAGTATTAAAGTAACACTGGCACAAAACAATCTCTCTGCTGATCCCTGATGAATATCAGCATATCCTGTCTCTACTTTGGGGTTCACTCTGCATAAGCCTTATCCTGAATTAGGCTGGCTGAAGCCCAAACTTAGGCTGACAAAGGTATTACCCTACTTCTGAAATCTAAACTTTAACTAATCCAGATACCAAAGCAACTCATCCAAAAAAAGACGTGACACCTCATAGACACCTCTGTTTGAACACCCCTGCTGTACAAACTCTTTAAGATCCTGCACGAGTCTCCTTCCAACCAGTCTACGACCTGGGCTGCCACTGTCAACCCAGATTTCAAACCTGTAAGAACCAGAAATTACACATGAGAAGAGAGAGAGACCCCACATGTCTTGGATGTACAAGGCATTACCACTGAACTCAGAAGGTCAGCTCTACAGCTGAAGGTTGGCAGCTGGGTCTCCCTGACGGCCTTCAGAAAACATGCTCTGCCTCACAGGCCAAAATTGCTCATGACTTCATCAGTCCTGGCTGCATAACCACATTAACATGTAACTCGTGTAAGACACATCATCTATGGTGTGACTAGCTACAGGAACCAATTAAGGTAAAGTCAGGTAAGTTTTGCAGCCTCATCCTTTTAGTTGTTTAGCTCAACCTTTTATAAAGGCATCCGCCAGACAGATGGGTCTCTCTGCTTGGACATCCAACTCACAGCTGGCATGGGAAAAGCTGGCAGACCCAAAGGGGCCCAGCCTGCACTGAAAGTTGATGGGAGCTGTCTCACATACATGCACACAGACAAAATTTACAATATGCAGTAACAAATAAATCTCAACGCTGCTACAAAAATATCCCAGAACTATGTTACCACCTAACACACACCACATTGGCTACCTACAGCAAGGGGGAGAGCCCATCACACAGGGAAATTTTCAGAGGTACAGAGAACAAGCTGTGAAACAACCCCCAAGAGCCCCTGCACTGACATTACCCCCGCCTCCCAGCCCCAGCACTTACCGCGGAGAGGCGTATTGATTGGGAGACTGCAGGTTCTGCTCAATCCGCCGGTAGTTATGAATTTGCGTTGGGACCGGAATGGGCACGGAGTGTCCGTACTTGCTGCTAGAAAACTGACCTGGCCGGCTGTTGAAAGGAGACACACAAAGAAAGCTTCTTGTAAGGCGTGGGCCTTCAGCCAGGTCATCGGCGGTTTTATCTTCATAAAGCAACTGTACACGGGGAGCGTCCTCTTGGCTGCTCTCGGGTTGTGGGTTTATACTGGGAGGTAGTTCAAAGTCATATCAAAGGGAAGTGGCACCACGCATCTCCTGAAAACAGGCACCTTCCTTCCAGCACGATTCCCACCCACAGACTGGAGTTAAAACATACACCCAAGCGCACCACTCCCTCCAGGAAAATTGGAGCCCTGCTATTTCAGGCCACAACTGGCCTAGTTTCCAACAGCTCAGATCCGCGGCCAAAGAGCACATCATTGAACAGGGGCTAAACATTCGTGGCTCACAAAGGACACCAGAAAAGATTTTGCTGCCAAGAGCTACTTGCAATTCATGCAGAGGCACTGCTGCAGCAATGGCATCTCCATGAAAGTCGCAGCACGCCATGAAGAGAATACAAACTTGTGGTGTATATCAGAGTATTTACAAGTGAACTACAGGATGGAGAAGGCAACTGAGGAGCGAATAAATCGAGGGCACAGGAGCTAGTATCTATATACCCATCAAGGTCAGCTAGAATTTCACACACAAAATGGGACAGGTCCGTTCTGCAAACTTCAGACTTCTTTCTAGTTCCATCCAAGCAGGTTGATCAGCTCACGTCTGATATCTGTTCCCCCATGTGACAGTTTCCCCCGTTACTCTTGGCCTGTACACCACACTATACACATATCATGCTATACAAAAACCATGCAAAACTGCATTTAACTAAGGAGACTAAAGTCTTTTCCCAAAGGCTCCAGAATTCTAGGATTAATTGCCATGGCAATGCTATTTACAACTGCCAACACCAATTGCAAGGATGTTGCACAATTACAGAAAGATCTTATTGGTAATGAAGGCTTCTGCAGTCATCCTTGTTGTCAATCGAGGACACGCGCCCAGGTCTGCCCCTGGGAAGCAGTAAGTATCACTTCTTTGGGTCTAACACTCGGAGTGGAAGCGTTTTGCATAAGATGAAAGGAGATATTTAATTCAGCAAGAACATACATGTGTGCACAGGGGAAGAGAGAAGAGGTTGTGACTTATTTGGCAGTTCAAAGCATGTCATTACCAGAATTTATTTTTTGGGGAAGGTCAGTAGTACTCTGTTGTTTATGGTGACGGTGTTGAACAAAGCTGACCTGCAGGAACGTGTCTGCAGATCTCCACACTGTGCACATGAAGATGCTCCTCCATCACAAAATAGTAACTGGAAGACATCTTTCAGCCTTGCTGAAAGTGATTCAGATTTCTTCGTTCCTCTCTTCATATGTCTACTAATTTTTTGAGTTCTATATATTCTTCTCTGTGTGCTCTTGTTTCTTCCATCAAGAGAACAGACTCTTAATCTGATGTTTGTCTCAGCAAAGGCAGCATGGAAGCCTTGATTCTCCATTGACATACAATAAAATAAAGGCATTCAAGGTTTCTGATTGCTCAGCGGAAAGGTGAGGCTTTGGTGTCTCTGCCTTCCATCAGTGTAAGACATGGCGTCAGACAGATATAAAGCGAACAGACCTTTAACCAAGAAATCTGAGTGTTAATGTCAAACTTTGTACATATCCTGACTCCCAACATACATTTCAAATGCTATCTTTTCCATCTGGTCAAAATGCTTTGGAGGAAAAGAAGTTCTCGGATGAAAGGATCCTCTCTCTCCCCAAGAGTTTTATCAAGCCAGGTTTCTCCACAAGGTGCAAGTTGCAAAAGAAAGCATCCAAGTGAGCTAACATATACTAAACCTACTAATTGGCTTCAAGCCTTAAAGAATGCAATTGACCATAAATTTGCAAAGACCAAGAGATAAAGCAGGGACAGGGAGTTTAATTACTTGGCAGTAATTAAAAACTCTTTGAAAATGGTATTAAATCCATTGCTGTGCGACACATCCAAGGAATTACCTTTTGTTAGACTTATTAAGCATTTTCAACAAGGAAGTGTTTTAAAGAAAAAAGAAAAAATCAACTGTCAGCGTATTTTAATTCTACCTAGTCCTCACACTCTTAGTTAACAAGGAGAACGGCTCTAGAGTGTACCGTAATATCCTGAGGAAAACCCAGTGCTGGCCACTCTAAAATAGCCTTTGCTTTCCGTCCTAGTTGGACTGCATCCAGCACTGCTCGCTAGCCTAGAGCCACACATGAAAGGGAGAACTGCTGCTTGCAAGTGAGCAAAGACCGAGAGAAAAATCAGGAGTCCCCTGTGCCAGTGAAGGCAAGCGCTGAGCCAATGGGCCTCACAACATCAACGGGCACTGAAACCCATGTTAATAGTAAGGGCACACCTGGCTGGCACCAGTTCAAAGCACTTTCAGATCAAAGATCATGCTTTACACTCTGGATTCAGAGTGACTGCTCCAATCTTTCATTATTTATGTCTTATTCCCCATCCTGGACAGGGTAGGAAGTTTTCAGTGTTTCTTTAAAGCAGATAGAAAAGTGGGAAGTAGCACTAGAGGGTTTGGTATCTGCTCCACAGAAGCTGATGGGAATGAGTAGGAAAGACAGCGAGAGCAGAAACATGTTTAGATCACAGCCACTGGCATTGACTTGCCACCTTGTGATTCAGCAGAATACGATGGGGCCAGTTTGGTGAAGACAGTGACGAACAGTGAAAAGTAGGCAGCATTTGTAGTCAGCGTCCATGAATTTCCACTCACTGCTGTCCAGAAACAAGGCCAAATCCTTTAATAAAGGCTGATCCCCAGAATGCAAAGGAATCAGTTAAGGAATAAGCTGTTAAAAAGCTTAGCAGGCGATGGCATAAGAAGCCTCGTGCAATTAAACTCCACACTGTGGTACGTGCTTGCCAATTAATCTGATCACGTCAGCAAGGCTTTGAGCTATATTCTTCTCCTTTAACTTTGTATGCTTTGAGGCTATGTTTTGTCATTTTCTGGGCTCCGTTTATGTGACAAGTGTGTTCAACACATAGCCTGGGACTGCATTTTCTTCTTAAGAAGGATTTTAGGGTCATCCATCTCCCAGTGTGAAATCCCCTTCAACTGTCCTCCTCCAACAGGTGCCATATTGACAGAATAGAAGATGAAAGCTGTCCTGCTTCCCCAGTAGGCAAGAACAAGATGGGAAGCAACACCAGCAGTTCCCTGTAAGCTAAGCACATACCCTAAAGCTTCAAGCACCAGAGTCAATGGGATCACCTTCCACAGACCACTAACGTCTTCTGAACCCAAATGCATCTGGACCCGCTGGCGGCGCTGGGCAGCTAGTGCTGTTGTGTGTGGGCAGCTCTCACCTACAACATTTCTAAAGGCCAAAGCTGAGTTTATAGCAACTGGTTTAGTTGGAACTAACCCTATGACTGCACCTGTTTGCACTTGTTACTCCTGCTCCCGCATCCTCCATTAGTAAACAAGGCCCATGTAGCAGCATTACTTTATACAGATATAGTACAAGAAGCTTCTCGGATCTTCAAGCAAACTACCAACAACTAAGTAGGCCCAGATCTGTCCTGCAAGGGGAGAGGAGCAACACTCCTCCACATCTGCCCAGTAATTCAAGCCTATCATAATTTCAGCCTTGGCTAAAGTGTTGTGCTCTAATTCACTGCATGAATTGAGAAACAAGGGTCTTTAGCTGGAATACTCACCGCCTCTGCAGGCTGAGCACAGAGGGGATGAGTAGCACACATGTGCCAGTGGAGCACATTTACCTTCTCCTTGAGAATAATCCCTGGCCCCGCAGGGAACAGAGTTAATTCCAGCTCTACTGCATTCTCTCCTAGCCCCTCCTGAGGGCCAGAAGAGGGAGAGACAGGCTCTGTAGTCGGGACTGATCAGTGCCCGAGGCTGGGGAGTTTCTCATTACCCTTTAATTAAAGGAGAGATGTGGATCTCGCCCAGCACAACATCTGTAAAATCCCCTCCTGGCAGCCAATGGGTGTTCAATTAACCAATGTCGCATAGTCACCACTGAACAGTCTTTCCTACCTGGACGGGCTAGGAGAACTGCTGTATGGGGGTGAAGGAGATGGTGTCCTTCCCTGGCTTTCCAAGCCTGCTGAAGTCACCAGAGAACTCCTGAAGAATGACAGAAAAAAACCCCAGCTGTTAGAGCCTGGGAACCAACCCTGCTCCCCCGCTACAAAGAACAGCAACAGAGCTGTGTCTGCCCAGCACCCTCTGCTCAGTCTAGTCGTAGGAGCCCTGGGGACTGTCACGCTGCCCCGCATACACTCTAGTAATTTGGGTGCCACATGCTGACGATCAAACTGAAAATGGTCAGCACCAGGCAGGTGACAGTCATCCCTGAAACACGAGGTAACTCGGCAACATCTTCCCTCCCATCCACCAGAACCCAAAAGTCCCTAATGCACAGTACGCTCCAGCGGCTGAACAATTTCAGTTGCCTTGGTGGTCTTACCCGCTGTACATCAGGCTGTCTTGGATTGGTTTCCCCCCTGCAGCCTCAACAGTTAAGTCACCTGAGGAACGAGTTAAGTGTAGAAACAGATTAATTCGAGATAATTTTCTTAAAAATCTTTACATCTTCAGAGAAACTGAGATTTTGGGTAGAATTTCCTGCTCCCCCAAGACCTGCTGAGCTGCTTCTGAAGACAGCATTTTGCAAAACACATGTGGGCTGAAGCTGATGTGGATGCTGCTGATCCTTATACCCTGAAGTTTTGGAAAATTTAGGCTGAAAGAAAGTCCTTTTGGAAGGGGGCCCAAACCTGACAGAATCATTTGGGGCAATAGGTATATGCCCACTTGGTGCAAACAATTAGCTGCTGTGTAAAAAGACAGCAGTGTATGCTGCACACAGGGCTTTGAAACATCTGTGTCCTCCTAAGTGGCAAAAATGCAGGGCAGCCAAATGAGCTGGCAGCTGGATACACAACATAGGGGAGTTTGTACCTTTGCCAAAACATCTGAACACTGGAAACATGACTAGCACAAGACAAGTGTATACTGGTCCCACGGCTATTCCCAGGAAGAATACAAGTAACACTCAGCTCTTCCTTATCATAAGGATTGCACAGCAGAGACCTTTCACAGATGCCAGTTCTACCCCTCCAAATTCCTGTTTTAATGCAAGTAGTGCAACTGTGAAAGGAGGAATCACAGCATTTATCACCAAGTCCCAACTCAGCACAGGATCATACACACGGTCAAGGTTGAACAATAGCCTTCTGCTGGTTAAGTAAGGACCGGTGCATGGACGTATTTAGGCATGTGGCTGAACTGGGGCCCTGGCCTCTATGTACATATATATTTTCAAGCAATTTCTATCAAAGTATAAACACATAGAAGTGCTAAAATGAAAGTTGAAGTGTTTGAAGAAAAATCCGACTTATTTTAGTTTTTCTCAGGGATTTTTTCAAGTGTAAAATCCAGCTTGCTAGCTGAAATCCTGTTGTGGACTGTGATGCTGAGTGAAACTGAAGGTAGGATGACATGGGAATAGCTTCTGTGAGAGAAAGACATTTCCCTGGGAGCCTACTTGTTGTCTTTTCCAGTTGGATTTCCAGGTTCAGTCTCTTATTGAGGTCCTTGAGTAATCTTTACTCTCAAATCCTATCTTTGAAGGTAATTACAAAATATCCTATGAAACTAGCCAGCGAGACAGATGTCTCTTCCAGCTTAAGAACAAAAACATTCCTGTTATTGTCAAAACAGACAGGTTTAATCCCTGTTTCAACTTTCTAGTAACTATCCTTATATCCACATCCCCCTCTGCTTAGAACATCTGCATTTCCAGAAACCACCTTACTTGAGAACTGTGCTGGGACCATAACGAAGTCATCTGTGTCACAGGACGAATTCTTACTGCTGCTTCCAGCAGAGTCCTTAGATCCATGCAGAAAGCCGGGGGAATCCTGGGTAGGAGATGCCAGCGCCTTCTCCTGCAGCTGCTGCTGCATCTCTCCAAGGGACTGCTAATTCAAGAAGAAAACAAACACTGGCCTCAGCACAGCTACTTCATCATTCTGCTCGATCCTTTAAACTGAGCTGTACAAGGCTACAAACAACATTTTGCTGATAAACCAGGGCTGATAGTTTGCCAGAAGCAGCTGTTTAGTTTACTAAAAAGGAACAGCCTTTCATGTCTGTGTCAGAACAGCGCATCTTTTGTTACACAAAACATACTACCAGCATGTCTGATGCTCCCCAGATAAGAAAAAAAATCACTTGAGGCATTGCTAAGGCTTTCTGGATCAACCACACATTTTCTACCAACTCAATTCAGTATGGCTGTGGAACAGAGAAGAGCTTCCAGAGATAATTTTGGTCGTTCTTCTGGGTTATGTTTTTTTGTTTTGTTCTTATATATTAAACACCCAGTCTCTACTCACGCTTTTGCAGTAAGCAGTACACGGGAACATGTACCTAAGTGTCCCTGCACTTTCTGGACAACCCTGTTTTGCTGTGGTGCTGATAAGGAGTTAAAGGCAGGCCTGAGGAAGGCATTCAATAGATGAACACCTCACAGCCATCAGAGGCAGGACAGACCCTAAGAAGTCCCATTTTTTTGCTTCCTTCAGCCAAATGATGAATAGCCCCACAATCCTCATGTTTTGCAGACAGATGGAAGAGTTTAAGAAAGCTTTAAGACGGCTAAGACAGCTGAACTGCCCACAGAGTAGATCACAATCTTTATCCTCCTGCATTTTTAGGCTGAGAAAGACCTGAATCAGCTTTCACTTTGGCTCTATTAAGACCCTGTTCACCCTCCAAAGACTCTCCTGCTGTACCAGTGGAGACTCCCTCTCAGTGTACAGGCAGTACATACAAGCAGAAGAAATTTTCCAGCTGCCAAAGTTGTCTCTTTTCGACCCGACCTGCTAGCTCTGCCCTGCAGACGTGGCATTTTTCACATGCTGAGCCAGCACACCTCCATCAGCAAAACTTCAAAATGCAGAGCGGGACCAGTGCAGTACACCTCAGACCCTCTGGGTCTGGCAGTGAGTCTGTATCATCTCTGAGCTTCCCAAACCAGGAAAGCTCGGGGGAAGAGTCTGTTTTTCACACCATCTACCTATTCCTTAGTCTTACGGTCAGGAGGGCCTCAGCCAACAACCCTCTACTTGGAGCTGCAGCGGGGAAGAAGCTCTCGGGAATGCAGTTATGTGACATTCAGCGGAAAGCAGACCTCTCCTTTCTGTCCAGCTCACATCATGAGCACCTACATTAACTTCAGATGGTGCCTCAGCCTTTCCCACACCAGGTTGGGACACCTTGGCCCAGGGAAACTCAGAGAACAAAGCAAAAAAGTAGTAATGCCAGGGAGGAAGAAATTCAATCCTTCTCCCTTCCCCTACCCATCGCACCACCAGCATTCCTGAGTTCAAAGTCAAAAGGCAGCTTTCACCAAGAGCCTCTGGAAACAAGCTTTCAGTTCAGTGAGCTGGAGGAATGTCAGTTCACTGGCCAGCTAATATTCTGCCCTCCAGGAAAGTTTTCATCATTTCAGGTAACCAGAGAGAAAAACCGTCAGTTCAGATCATCTCTCACAAGACCACCAGACTGTGGCAGGCCTGGTCTGAGCACAGAGCTTTGCTGAATGTCCCTCTGTGGTGCCTGGGAACGCTGCTCAGAAAGGAGGAGGGTCACCTTACAAAGAAGGGTGGATACGCTGTCAAGCTGCAGAGACTTCGCGTGAGAAGAGAGAACTTGCAGCCAAGAAAGCAGTGCCATGCCCTGAATTAGCGACTGTTTTCTGGTTCCAAGCAGCTTTCCGTCTCTGCCAAGACAAGCTAGTGCCATTAATACCAACTTCTTTCATAACGGTTTTTCATATAATAGGCAACAGCGAATTGAAATATTTCTTGTGGAGAGAAAGACAACCTTCAGGACCCAAACTCTAAACAGACTGGGGAGGACACCGAACCAAAACCAGGCAGAACTAAGGTGCTCAGCGGCTTGCATCAGAAGACAGCAAAAGCAGAGACCTTGTTTCAAAGAAGCAAGCAGGGAGACCGTTAACACAAGCAGTGCATCCTCTGAGCTGTACTTACGGGAGGTGATGCCAGGTGGGAAGTAGAAGAGCTGCTAGAGGAACTGCCGGAGCCTGAACTGGGGTAAGAAGGCATTGGCACGGAAGCAGCTGTAAACAGCAAAAGACAAAAACAAAAGAAGCTGTCAAACTTAAGATCAATCAATAATAAAAGGTCTTTTTCATCTTTTCCCATCAGGTTTATCTCATGTGCCATCATGTATCAGATGTGGCCAATTAAAAGAGAACAAAAGAAAAATCAGCATTCTGTTCAGTTATGTGATTCACATCCATCCACTCCTCCATGCACTATTTCACAGCTATAACTCTTGGGGAGGGAGGTCTCAGAACACACTGACCAAGGTCAGGGTCCACTCAACAGCTGGTCTACACAGGTAGCAAGATGGTTTCTGCCCTAAAGAGCCTCCAAAGCATCTTTGCAAATGAAGGGAGAGATAAACAGAGAAGTGGACTGAGTTACCCATGTCAGGGGCAGAGGTTAGAAGCCAGACCATACCCTTACAGTTTCTTTTTCATCAGACCTTGTGGCTTAGCGCGCACACATCAGATGTTGGGAGGTCTGTGCTAAGTTAAACACATGCCTACTCAAGCCCTATGTGCTTGCTGCCCAAGCAGTCACTTGGGCATCCCAGGCCACATGCTATAGAAAAGCCCCCCCCAGAACTAATCATTCCAAAAGGAAATAGTTCATTGCTTCCTATACCTCAACACCTTCTCCCTCGGCCACTTCTGCAAGTTAAAGAGGTTTTGCTTCTTTAATCTCTTTGTACAGAAATTGTTCCACAGCACGGGCTATTCTTGCATCCCTTCCTTTTATGTTTTATTGTTCAATATCAGAACTGCCCATGTTATTTATCTCGTTGTTGAACTGGCTTTTGTAACTCTCACAGAGGCATAAAGCTCACGCTGAAGGGACTAGTTAGCATTGACCTTCAGGCAGAAAAGATGATTAAGGCATCACAGGAGAAAAGAATATTCAACTCCAATGACTTATGCAAGCGAGGTTCAGTCAGTAACTTAGAAGAGCTCGGCTCAGCTGAGGAGGGAGACAAGTCCAAGGTAACACTGGCTCTTTAACAGACTTTGAAGCATTTAGTGGTTCAAATTCCCTAGTCCACTCACACAAGACTGAACAGCACAGAAGCTGTAGGAGAGTCCCAACATCCCCACTTCAAGGCAGTCTGAAGTCAGATTTTACTCTGCAACCATTTCGGTATTTGAATGACTTAAGATAGAGATCAGAGGCAATGCTTAAGCGAGGAGAGGAACACTGCTTCTCTTCCATTGTGCTGGCAGAGAATTAGCACCTTGTATCGTATTTCTGCCTTTACAGGATCTGTGCTAATGACTCCATACTTAATACAAGGAAGGTTAATAACACCTAGAAGAAGAATGCTTCTGTTTGAAGTAAAGCTACCTCTGTCATTAATCACATTAGATACTATAAAGCACTTACTCTATTCAACCGGCTAGAAAAATAAAAGTAAAGTACATCTCTCTGCAATGAACTGTTGAAACAGTGTTCTAATGATAAAAGAATGGGAAAATATGCCTTTTAATACAAGGCTTTAAGAAGTCTTTCCATGTAGCCTATCAAAGAAGGTTAAAGGACGACTGGACCAGTGTCTCCCAGCACAAAGAGAGCAATCACTTAGATGCTGAATTCCTCAGTCTGACAGAGATGTAACAAGATCCAGCAACAGGAAAATGAAGCCAAAGAAGGGTAGACTTAAAATACACATTTTAACATAAGTAATCAATCACTGTAACAGTTTAACCAGGGTCATAGCGATCCCCTCTACCCTTTGCTGATGTTAACAAAACCCAAATGTTTTTCTAAGGAGGTTAAGTTATACTGCAAAGGGAGATTGATTCGGCGGGGTCCCGGGGCTTGCGCAATAGGAAGCCAGGGCGGGATGGCTGCGTGGGGCCTGCGCGCAGCGACACACGCGCACGCCTTTCCCTCCTCTGTCGGGCCAGCCTGCAGCGCTCACCCCGCCAGCATTTTGAGGGTTAGGTCCATAATGAAATAAATCTTTCCAAAGTTTTGCGAGAGGCTACTTTTTAGCCTCTGCATCTGTTCTACGCTTGATTTTGTGCCCCTGATGGACTGTGCTGTTAAAACGCACTGCCCTGGCTCCGGTGAAGGAACAGGGACGGCGGTACCCTGATGAGGGGTATTCCGGGAGGTCGGTCAGGGGCTTGGCACGGGGAGCTACGCCGCCCACGCCCCACACACCCGTCCAGCACAGCCGGTTCCCGCTCCCCACGCTCAGGAACACACACAGAGGCCTGAGAACTTGCCTGTGAAATGGAGAGCTCTGTCCTGCCTATACCACACAGCTTTTGATCTCCGCGGTCTTCCCACAGAGCCTGCAGGGCAATCCCTACCACCTTCCCTATATATTTAATACCAGAAATCTGAGGGGGGGGGGGGGGAGAAGGCTTCTCATTTTTTTCCTGCGGGGGGGGGGGGGGGGTTGGGAGAAGTCTTCTCATTTTTATCCTGCCAACTGTTACAGAACAATTCACCCTTGCACAGAGACCTTCTTATTATGGAAAGGTGCTCTGAAGGGAAGGTAAGTGATTTCTGAACTGTATCCACACATGCCTGCTGCAAGACTTGCATCACCATTCATTTTTCCTGGAATTAGTATTTTTGTTAGAGTCATTTCAGTTCTCTCTCAAGGGCCCCTCCACTCTATTTTCGTTCTGTGCTTATTATTGATTTAAACCTGGCTGGAATTGAGACTTTTCTATTTCTGTCTATTTGCTTTGGACAGCTTTCCATTAATCTAGGAACGAAGACAAGCAGGCGGACTTTGCCACTATCATCTGAAACTCAAGTTAAAACTATCTGCATGAAGCACACCTCTAGATACAGCCTCTTTTAATCACTGCTCTTATTTAAGCCCCTGCAAATCTCCCAAATTCACACTGTAATGCTGCGAGGTCCAACTCAAAAGGTCCTGACACTAAAAACAGACTTTCATACAAGTAGAACCACAAGGTTTGGCACTGGCAAACTCCCTCTGACCACCGTATCCCTGTTGGTGCATTTTTCAGCATCAGCCACGTAGGACAGCTTGAAAGCAAGACGCTTCCATCTCCTCCACACACCCAGGCACTCCCAGTTTGAAATTAAAAAGGGTGCTAACACTTGGCTCATGTTTTCAGCTTAAGTCTGAATGCAGGGAATGTTAACGTGAATTGTAGGCCCCCACCCAAATCCAAAAATTGCTGGATTGTAATTGTAATGTAAGTAAGTCTGTTTTCATAATTGTCCTCTCCAACTTGTTCCAGCAACAGAACAGTCATCCTGTACGTTGTGTAACCAATACCAACTGGTTTCAAAATGGGAGAGCTGGGAGCCATAAAGGCAAGCCTCTGCTCCAGCTATGTGGATCTTGACACTGGATCCTACACCTGCAAAAATCACTGCTGACAAATCATCCTACCAGGGCCTCAGTTGTCCTAAAAATATCCGAGCCACAAGCTTTATATAAAAGCTTTATTTGGAATCAGAGTTTCACACACACTAGAGAGATGCATTTTTGTGATTATCTGGATTCAATCAAAACCAGTCATCAAGAAGTTACTTAATTGCAGTCTCTGACATGGCAATAGTTTGAGTGCAAAAACTGAAAGGGCTTGCCCAAAGAATAAGCTGCTTTTTGGAGTTCAGAAATTTGCACCATTAAAATCTTTTATATGCAGAAGTCATGTTGATTTTTTGCTAGTTTTTACCTATTTTATGTACAATAAGATTATAAAGATGGCAAAAGTCAAGTTAAGCCTGACAGATATTCCAGACATTGAACCACCTATACACTTCTGAACCATAACCGCTCCCGTTTCATGCTTTCTTAACTCAGAGTAAAGGAGGTACCAGCTTACCGCTCATTAAAGGCAGGAGCAAAAAAACCTCCAAAATATTCTGCATGGGTACCAATTACAACGTGTTTACTGAGAGAAGACTTGCACAAGTGTCTAATTATGCCTTCTCATGCATTATTACTGTAACACACTGCCCCATACCATATGTTGATCAGACCTGGCTACAGACAGACAACATTCTGACTAGACACGGTATTTTAAAGACTTTTATTAATAAAATTTTTACACATCTAAAGTACATGCTTAGTCACAGGTACAAACCCCACAATATAAAATAAAATATAAGTAAATAAACAAAAAAAATAAAGTACACGTTTCAGTTAACAAAGCCCAAGGCCCTGAACCCACTCTCTAGGCTAAAGCCTGTGGCAAAGGGAGCTCTGCGGTACGCCCTGGATGGCAGCAGACTTAGGTCCTTGCTTCACTAACGGAGTGAGATGAGGAGGGATGCGAGAACAACCAATTCTCAAAACCACAGTGGAGAGGACGGGCTTGTCAGAAATGTCGTATTTAAACATTCTTGACAGAAATGTTGGTTTTGCTGAAGTGTCTTGAAAAACATGCAAATTTACTTAAATGAGGGGGACTCCCTGCCTGAGCAACTTCACAATTATCCACTTACAGAATTATCCACTTTGGAGAATTCCCCAGTTTTCCAGAATTCCAAAATCACGTTATATTAAAAAAAAATTTCTTTATCATTCCATGAGATGGTGTACTAACACACACCCACACAGAATGAACAGCCGATGGCTCTCACTTTATTCTTAATCATTGTGTGACCAGACCTGGACCAGCCTTGACAGGGTTCAGGAGCCCGGGTGATGGGCTCAGCTCTGCAGGCTGCTGGCAACTCTCTCCCGTTCTGACCTTGCCACCTGAGGGCAGACTTGCCTGCAGGGGTATGGAGACCACCACGCTCTGCTCAGACTGCAAAACGTTCTCATATAGAAGTGTCTCACCTTAAAATTGTTTTGGGACCCAAATGGTTGCCTGCATCTGCAGTGCAGGTGCCCCTGAACTGGAAGGTCCTTTAGGCAAAGGCTGCACAGTGCGTCCCTGAGCTTAGCTGAGGTCTCAGTGTGTCCATCACACAGCAGCTACTACTCCAAAACACAGATGCTGGTACAGATCATCCAACAAACTCTACGAGAAACTTGCGCACTCAAATGTGAATCACTTAGTCATTAGCTTCCACCAAAGTCAGTGGTAGCCCAATTATCAGCTCCCAAGGAGAACAAAAACACGAGAGCACGCTGTTCCTCCCCCCCCAGTTCTCCACTGCAGGCCTGAGGACTCTAATTCAGTCTGAGCACGACCATCATGATTCAGATGCAGCTGCATCTCTTTTCCTCTTTGATACTTCCTACACTCGTGATGCTGGGCCACATGTTGAGATGAAGTAGCACAACAAACTTTTGGACTCATCTTAGTTCTGCACACAAAGCCAGGGGAGTTAGCCCCTGAGCAACTGCAGCCTTGCTAAGTCATCTACTTCAGCTAGAACTGTGCAAATGTTAAGCATGCTACCACATTAAGCAGCATTCCATACACCTCAGGCGAGTTTTTCTTATCGAGATCACCGTAACCCAGACCTTTGCTGACATACTGGCTCTTCTCTCACCTGTTTGGAAATCAAAAGGACCACCGTCCCCATATGCAGCCTTTCCTTTCACTGCACTTCCCAGAGGCCTTCATCCATCCCTGCCATCTGGCAGCAGCAAAGACCTCCACAGCAGACTACAAGAACCATCTTCTCCGCTAGCAGTTTTCTGTGCACAAAAACTTGAAGGCCTCCAGCAACAGGGAGCTATTTCTCCCCTCATCTTTTCAAAGCCAGTAGTGGTCTCTCCGGCCTGGAGAGGACTCCAGGCTGTGGACATGTGCCCAGAGGTGAGGACCAGCCAGGCAGCAGAGAGGTCTGGAGTTTGTATTGTCCTTACCTACCTGTAATGGTGCTCTTTTTATTGGGCCCTGACCCCACACCACTAACTCTGGTGCAGCTGGGGGCAAAGGCTGAGCTACAGTCCCCTGCTCATAATGGTGCCTCTGGTTTCTGCACAGCAAATGTGCACAAGTTGGAAACTGAGGCCAAGTCAGGAGAACCCTCTCCTGTTTGCAGGGGGTTTTCTGTTCCGCGGGCCAATGAAGCAACGGAACTGCTGGAGATAAGCGACAAGCTGGTGGGCATGCAAGAACACCCCAAGGGAGTCCTCCTCTGCCCACGGGGGGATCAGACTTTGAAGGGCTTTTCCCACACGGCAGTGGTATAGCAGGTGCTGAGAGCTGAGCTGGCTTAGGAGCAGTCCTACGCAGGCAGAGTCCTTTCCTGCCTGCAGAGCAGTCCTGTTTTACAGGACCTGCCCCACATCTTGCTGGCGCAGATGGAGATAGGGGCTTGGCTGGCTTGCGACCTCCCCTAAACCAGAAGCGTCTTTTCTTGCCCGCAGGACGGTCACCTAAGTACACAGTTAAAATCTGTATCAGGAACAACTGAAAAGTCCTGCTCTGGAACCAGGAAAGCAAGAGACTGTCAGGAGTGACGAGGACATCAGACAAGGGGTGTCCACCCACAGCGTACATCCAAGAGGGGCTCCATGTTCAGAAAGCGTTGGACATGTGTCCTCCAAAACTTCCAGCCCTTGCACTGGGCACCCCAAATCAGTCACTGATGAAAATTCTTGGCTCTGTCATTTATTCGGGAGGTTAAGGGCCCAGGAAGAAGGACCAGAAGATGACAACCATACACAATTCCACTAAACCAAGTCTCTCAGCCAGAGGAATATTATATCCCATACAGTAGAAGCAATTCGGAATCGTTTTCCACTGGAAAACAAACCTCTGAATCATAGCACATGTGGCTGGAAATTTTCAAAAGTTTCGAATCAAAAGAGGAAAGAAAGAACTTTCAATGGAAATCTGTCTTTGTTTTGACCAGTTCTCACAGAGCACCCAAATTTAACCCTTCTAAAACAAGATTCATCAAGAATTTGGAGGTAAATGCTGAAATAAGATTTGGTAACCAGAGCCTGCCACTTGGCACAGCCAACCTAAGGTACCACCTGGCAAGCAGGGACAAAAGTGCCAGTTTCCACTGTTCGCTACCCTGAATTGTCCTACAGATATGGATGAAAAGTGAGATCATGCTGCATAATCCCGTTTACCTACAAGCATCCCCACTGGCCAAGCACTTCATACAAAGCAGCTGAATATGTCGCAAAGCTACATTTACTTCTACTTCACGTTTCTAAACAGCCCCCTAATCATCCCTTTGAAGGTAACTCAGCAAAATTAAGTACATTTTGATGGCAAAACCTGGACATGACACAGTAACAAACGTTGAATCCCTGCCTAAATAACTATGAAAATATAAAGCAGTCTTTTTCTTTCCTTTTGAACTAGCAGCAAAGGAAGTCATGTCATGGTTCAAAAAGAGTTATAATCAAAAATGCAACACTTACATTTTTTCATAGAGGCACTTGCATCCAAGAACGGGTGATGGAAAAATTCATCTGAAAAAAAATCAAGAACAATGACTCAGTGAAAGGAAATGACGGCAAGAAGTTTACAAAGCAGCTAAAGCATAGTAAGTTACAGTATTTCACAGTGATTTTTTCCATGCAGTCTAGTCAACCATGGAAGTTGACTGACTGCGGTTGCATGTAGTAGTGGTTAAGAATGCCGACTGGGGACTGGATGCAGGACCTACTCACAAAAACACAATCGGAAGTTATTTGGACACAGGGATTGCTATGTGTATTAAAAAAAAAGTGGCTTCTCTGGTACCAGCCACCTCTGCAAAATCAGCTGGGGGAGGGCAGAGAAGGGAAATCAGCTGGGGCAATTACATGAATGAAGAACAGGAGGAAAAAAAAAAAATCTTTGCCAAAAGCATGGCCAAAGGACATGAGGATTTGTACCTTGGGACTCACCACCAGTACTAATGGATTTTCCTTCCCCACAGGGCATTAAAGAACTTAGTGAGGTTTTGCTGCAAGCTACAACCCTGGGCTGCCGGGGAGAATACGTTAAATTAATTGTTAATGCTCCTCTGTTTTGCAACTGCTCTTACACTTGTAGGAACGGGAATCAGTTTTTGAGGGCCAGATAGCGTGACTACACGAGACCCGGCATGGCCGCGTCTGTGCATGTGCATCAAAACCTCCCATCAGCAAGAAGGGAGAAATCCTAAGGCACAAAGTAGCAGTAAAAGACAAAGTCCCTGGCTGATCAGGATGGCAAGTCACCCTAATTATAGGGATCCAGGGGAGCTATGTTTATCACACTGCGCTGCCACTCATTCCACAGAAGAGGAGTGATGGACAAAGGGACTTCCACTGAATGATCTTCCATCACACCCAGACCCAAACCCATCATTCACTGAAGGCAGAAACACGTTTTGTGAAAGGCCACCACAGACCTACAGCCCAGAACACCCTTCCTTTCACACCAGACACAACTGCTGCTTTCTTCACTCATTACGGGAGGATAATCTACAGATCCAGGCCAAGAAAAGCTTCTGTCCTGGCTTGCTGGAGACCTTCTACATGTTTGCCTGTCCTCACAAGTAGCCACACCCCTCCTGACTCCTCCATCTCTGATCCACGGCAGCTCTACGTCGAGTCCTCTCCTACCACAATCAGCAACGCAGCCCTCCAGGAGCCTCAGGCACGGATCCACGCCGATTCCTTGGCTAGCTGCAGGCAGTTCAACTTGTTTTCCCAGCACGGATTTCCTGTTGCAACACCCAAGGTTTACAAACTTCTGCTTTCTGTAAACAGCTCCTCTTTGGCCAGTGAGCTTTCCAGAAAGTAGCAACTGGGCTTTTTGTTTGCTTTTTAAACTTAAGCAATCCCTCTCTCCCCAGCTCCTCCTTGCCACTGCCATGCCGGGGTCCTGCAGCCAGAGTGCACTGGTCCAGAGCTCAGCACAAGTGATGGAAATCTCTGGCAATGAAAGCTGGAATCTCACAGATTACATCTGCTCTGGATGGAGAACATCCCTATCCTGCCGGGAGCTGCTCGAGTTTCCTGCTGCTTCTTCAGCCTGCTCCTCTCAAGGGTACCATCCCTCAGCTGAGCTGATTCAACCTGAGGGGGTGGAAATGACCATTTCTTTTACTTTTCCCTCTCCACCCTCCAAACTGCTTATTAGTTGTGCTTGCAAAGCAAAATTTAAACAACCCTGCTTGTAATCATCAGCAGGAC